TMTMWRCATGTCATGTTCTGAGGCTGTTGCCATTCAGTATTTCACTACTCAGTGGACTAACTTCGTATTTTCTATAACAATCTTCATCAAATCAGGAATTCTAAAAAATACATGTTCACAGTAATATGAATAAATACATAAAAATGCCCAAAAATTGTATTCCAAAAACATTAAATGTCTAATGTTGCCCAACAGTGAAAGAAGTTGAGTTAAATCTTGCAGCATTCTATTTTGCTTTAGGTGATACTTACTTTATTGCTTACTATGCATGCCTCTTGGTTTGTTTAGGACACTGCAAGTTTGAAATTTGAGTGAATTTTAAAGGGAATAGGCAATATATTCCTATTCTGTAAACCTGTTTGAGACCTCTTTTTAATTCTGTATTCCCCTTTGTATCTTGCCCAACAGAACAGATGTACATATGTTGGCTGTGGTGAATCCCATGTTGATCACAGTACCACCCATTCCCAGGTATGTGTATTTGCTGGTAATAGAGTTCCTTGAAGCAGTGAAACAGAGTTAGAGAACTTTTATTTCAGTGAAGTCAGTAACCTATGTTAGCTGATTTTATGGACTTTTGATTTACTGTGATTGTGTTTTATGTTACAGAAGCAGGTTTTGCTAATTTAGGAGTGAGATTACAGTTTTTGTGCAGCTGCATAGTTATGCAATTCTTCTAAAGAGCACAGTGAAAATGAAAAACAAGAACAAAAATTATTGATGATTTTCAAGATGCACAGACAAAAGACTTATTGAGTACCTCAGCTTATGTGTAGTCCACTATGTCCACTATTTCAGTCTAAATTTCTGGGACTGTGGCTGCCTGATGGATGAGAGGAGCAAAATTGCATTAATGGACAGCTGAAGGGGTGTGAGATAGGAAGTGTAAATTGCCAGAGACAGGTGCTTTGTTTCTGTAGAGAGCTGAGCATATGCTTTCCTGCGATGTCCTGATCTTGGATCCAGCTCGGTAGGAGCCGTGGAGTGTGTGCACTGTGCTCCCCAGCCTGCCACGTTCTGTCAGGGCTGGACAGCTTCAGTGCATAGGTTTGGGTCTTAAACTCTGGGTTCTGGGCACACCCATGTGCAAGTGGAGCACTTGCCAAAATTAATCAGAGAAGCTGTTCTGGGGACAGAGGGGTGACAGCTTTATTAACGTCATTTCTAAGTTGCTGACTTCAAGACTAATCAAATTCTTGCCATTAGTTTACAGTTAATCTGTTAGTGAATGCATCTAAAGTTTCACACTGAACAATTTTTGATCCCTAAAATTACTAAAATATGACTATTAAAATGAACTAATAGTATATATGGGGGTTTTACAAGAAGTATGTGGTGTTATGACTGCATTTTACCACCATTACGGGTTATTTTGTTTTGTTTTGAAGCAGGACCATGAGAAGAGTGAGTATTTTTATGAATCGATAATGCATTAATATAAATCTATAACAATACCTTCAGGGTTTCTTTTATCAGCTGTAAAGTTGAATCACAGTTCTAAAGCCTTTACAATAGACTCAGAAATAAGCTGTTTCTAGAGGGTTGGGGAACAGATGGTCCCTGAATTTCTTGCCTGCAGTTTTATACTTGTTGGCTTTTTACAGTAGTTTATTTTGCATGCTGTCTTAGCAATGTTATGTACTTCACAGGTAGGAGAAAGTAGACAAACTGTTCATTCTCTGTCAGTGACATCCTTGTCTTGATTCTCTTATTACTTCAATTTGCTAATTTGAGTGATTTGTACTACAAATGAACGTTTGTGCTAGAATTTCAATGACTGCATTGCTCTTTTTTAATATTCTAGCACACATACTCCATTCATTGTTGAAAGACCTAGAATTTTAATATGTCTGTTCTAGCTTCCATGTAGCAGTATTTAGTTATTCCCAATTTCTGAATCACAGTTGTGGTTTTTGTTCTGTTTTAGGAGACAAAGCACTGTCTAACTGTCAACCTTACTACGCTCCGTGTTTGGTGTTAYGCCTGTAGTAAGGAAGTGTTCCTGGATAGAAAATTTGGATCTCATTCTCCACTACCAAATGCAAGATTGTCTCACCAAGCACAAGAAAACAGTGTGCAGGTACTTTTTAACCCAATGAAACAAAGGCAGCTGTAGCTTTGCAGTATATATTGTGGTTTTTCGTAAGTGAAAAATTGACTTTTCCTTTCGTTCTTGTGGCTGAACTTTTTATTAATTCCTCTCCATTTTCATAGAATTTTTGGCACTTTACGGGCAGTACTGTTCACTCTGATCTTTTGTTTCCTAGATGAGTGTTGTGTTGAGAGAATTATACTGCAATTTTTAAAGTATAATAGTTTGGAATAATGTGTGTAGCTGAAAAGAGAAGTTTTATGTAATATAGTTACATAAAAATGATAGGTAACTCAATTAAAACACTCACAATTAGAAATACAGTATTTCTAAACGTGTTTTGCTTGAGATACAGAACACTAGGAAAGATACCATGATGCACAGGTTGGACAGAAAGATGGGCAACAGAAAGATGATTAAATCTGTCAATAACCTTCAATATTTTCCCTTCAAAGTTTAGTATTTAATATGAATGTAGTCTGATCATTTTCTCATAAAACACCAGTAGCTCAATTGGAATAGTACCATTGGAATTTAAAAAAAATTTCTGTTGTGTGGAATTTCTGGTCATTTACTAGAGAGCTGAGTTCAGACTTCTGAACTTCTGCTCTATTATTCTTGACCTGTTTTGATCTTCTGAGGAAACAGGTATAATATACAGAAAACTCAGCAGAACTTAAAAAGCCTGTGAAACAATTTGTTTAGGGTTTGTGTGCCCACAAAAGAGCCTGTTATGCAATAAATGCCTGCCTGTCTACTACTTCATTTCTCTATTTCTACTTTTTCTTTCAATAGTGTAGTTTGTCTTCATTAACTGTAGAGAGCCATCTGGTGGCACATCAAAAACACTTACACTGGCTTAGGTGATGACTCCTGCCTTTACTCTTCTGTTCTGGCTGCTTTGTTATCCAGGGGAAGGAAATGCCATCCCTGGCTTTGATTTGATTCTTCAGCTGCTGTTATAAAATCATGCAGTGACCTAAAACCAGAAACACGGTGGGGTACCTAGTGAACTTTCTCAGGGTACCTGTGCAATCTTGGTGTTCTCACTTCATGTGCAGTGAGATTTCAGAATGCATTCACATCATTTTCTGGTTCTAGATTTCTTGGTAAAATTACACATAAGCTTAATTAAGTGGAAAATTGTTGAATAGAAGTAAATACTCTTTTTCTGCTTTTAAGGATTTTAAAATACCCAGTAATCCCACACTGAAGATCCCATTAGCAGCTGTATTTGATGACTTGGATATAGAAGTTGAAGAAGATGAATTGAAGACCAGAGGTAATTAAAGCAAAATCCTGTGCATTATTGCATGAGTGTGTTTTTAAGTCTGTTCTTCAGCCATGTACTGATTCTCTTCTGTTGGGAACCGTTTCCTTTTCTGCTCCAACTCAGATGTTTATTTTTAGTTTCATCTTTCTTGCAACAATCTTTCTTACCTTCAGAGCAGAGGCTGTGGTGATAAATGGTCATGCACCCAATGTACCTGTGAAATCAGCAACAAAAAAGAAAGCTTGTTGGAGTAATGTTTAGTGCAGTTGGTATTGTAGCCACTCTGGTAAAAGTAGATTTTAAAAAAATCTTTTCTACTGTTTTTGCCTGCCCTAAGAGACTCTTGATTTGAATGCTTTCCTGCATTTGGAATAATGCTTTTCTCAGCCTGTAGTATCCTAGTGTGGGGGTTTGGTTATTGTTTCCTCCTTGACATAATTGATTTCATGCACTGCCAAACTTTCTTGTATCAAAGATTACCCCACCCTAACACTAAATCTAGTGTAAAAGATGAAAAAGAGAGTGATGAAATCCCAGTGAAGTTTTAATTTCTCATTTTATAAGAGATCATAATTACTATTTCTTAAAAGTCTCAAATTATTATTGATCATTCTAAAAAAGATGTGTGTATTTGATGCTAAAGAAAATATTTTTARGTACCATTTTTTCAGWAAAATAGAAAAAGACCAGCACRTTGTTGAACTGTTGTTTTTGAGATGCCATTGCATATGTCAAGGCAGTTTGTTTTCCATCAGTAATGAAAGTTACTCTAATTTATGCATGTGCTGGTTTTGGCTGGGCAAGAGTTAATTTTCTTCTCAGTAGCTGCTGTGGAGCTGTGTTGTTGGATTTGTTCTGAAAACTGGTTGATAATGTAGAAGATGTTTCAGTTATTGATGAACAGGGCTTACACACAGTCAACCTTTTCTGTTTCTCACTCCACCCACCAAGGAGTGGGTTGGGGGTGCACAAGAAGTTGGGAGGGGCCATAACTGGGACAGCTGACCCAAGTGAACACAGGGATATTCCATAACATATGGCATGCTGGGAGAAGAGGAAGAGTGGGACTTTCAGATTTAGGGTGTTTGTCTTCCCAAGTAACAATTATTCATGTTGGAGATGGGAGCAGCACCTGCCTGCACATGGGAAGTGGTGAATGAATGCCTTGTTTTGCTTTGCTTGTGCAAACAGCTTTTGCTTCACCTATTAAACTGTCTTTATCTCAACCTATGAGTTTCGTCACTTTTACTCCTACAGTTCCCCCATCCCACCGTGAGGGAGTGAGTGAGGGGCTCTGGGGGGGTTGAATTGCTGACTCAATCAATGTGGAGTTAAACTACAGCCACAGATCTCATTTCTCCTTCACTCATCTGCTACCAGCTTTCCCTCTCCTAAGGCTGCTGGCATTGGTCAGAAAACCTGCCTTGTCCCTTCTGTTGTCTGGCACAATCTTTCTGCATATGTCACCACCCCTCTAATTTGCCATCTGCCCTTAAATCATTAGGCCATGTGTTTAATTCCTAGTTAGTTTCTCCAACCAATGAGTATATTTGTATATTTTTATCTCTTCTTGTGTTAATAATGCTTTGGAGAATGTGGCTTACACTGAAATAATATACAAATAGAATGGCTTAAAGTTCCCCGTAATGATGATGTGACTATGTTAAGACACTTGTCAAATTGAAGGGAAGAAACTTCTTCAGCTTTGTTTTAACTTTGCTCTTAAAATTTCTTTCGAAATGCTTTTGGTGAAGCAAGCATTAAAATATATCTTCACAAGAAAATAAGTCTGTTTGAAAACTTTCCTTGCAATAGTACAAGATGGAAAAATRCACTGAGAGTACCTTCCTGAAATATCTGCTGCTTCTAGAAAAATGAAAATTAAAWTCCTCTGACTGTTCTTGCTTTTCAATTTCAGTAAGAATGATTGTTCTCTTTGTAGCAGAATTTGGAATGCATGTTCAGGTACAGGAAGCAGGACTGTATTTCTRTTGAGACAGATAGARGGACATTTTAAAATGTCCTTCTAATTTTAAAGTCCTGTCCATTAAAAAGTGTAATTGGAGTAACCCAAGTGGTTTTCAGATGTAGAAAGATTTTCTTCATAAGTTTATTACCACAGACTTAAAATTACTGGGGTAGTTCCTATACTTCAAGAATTGCATAAAATCACCAGTATTTGCTGAATGTTTGTTAAGTTTTTAAAATTTTTCAGTCTTACTGATTTTTTTGCTAAGAAATGTTACCATTTCCTCATGCAAAAGCAATTTTATTTTGAAATATTCCTTTATTAATGTAACACTGTAGTAGCCATGAATAGCGTAGTTCATAATGATAGAAAGAATATATGTTAATTGTAACTTTCATGTGTGTGGGAAAAGTATATGTGACCATCTGTAAAGAAAGTAAACAGTGTGGGTTAGGAAATAAATTATGTGGGGAAGTGTAAAGCGAGCAGTCTGTTTATAAAAAGAAMGGTATATAATTGGAAAAGAAAAAGACTAATCACAGGTAATTACAGTTCTGAGTCTGGGATAATCACATGCTGAGTAGGTTTTGAATATTGAYTGTAATCTGACTTAGCATGAATTTGGGACAGAAGAATGAAATCTTTGAGAAGCTTTTGGTAATGTGATTATTTACAAATGCAGCGTAGCAACAGTTTAACTTCACTGAAGTAGAACTTCAGTGTTGATAAGCCTATTTAAAATTAAAATCTTCATGTGTCATAAACCACCAAAAGTTAGTAGGATGGAATACAATCCACTTGTCTGAAATGCTTTWGTCAACCAAGATCAAAGCACTTTATTACTACTTCTCATTAGACTGGTATTGCTTTAGGAGTCCTATGTTTCTTTTAGTTATAGTTCTGCATTATAACTGGCATCCCAAGTGTTGCATGAGTATTTTTGATTAATTTGTGTTTTCTAGGAATTATTGGATTACCAGAGTTGTATTTATTCTGTTTTTTAGGTCTAACAGGATTAAAAAATATTGGAAACACTTGTTACATGAATGCAGCTTTACAAGCTCTTTCCAACTGGTAAGGAAAATTATTGTTAATGCAATTTTATATTTGCTTATGCATGCATTYTCCAAGGTGGACTTCCACTGCCATGGAAAAGGACATGTATTTGTTGAATCTCAGTCTTGTATAGTACAAACAGTTTATTCTGGTATGTGGGCCACTCAGCTTTCCCCCTGTTTAATTCTAATGCCTCCTAAATAAAAACATTTGCRGTTTCAGAAATTAGAAGAAAATATGAAAAAAAAAGCTACTGGATTTGTGGATTGGTCTTGCAATTTTTTCCTTTGTTACAGAGAAAAGAAAGGAAATGCATAAGAAGCACCAATTTAAAAAAAAAATAGAGTAGATAATGTAAAATCCCATATCATCCCATGGGAATACTAGAGAAGTTAACAAAGGAGAAATCTGCAGAAGTTGAAGAGATGGAAGCAGTATCCCCAGCTGYAGAGTTTGCTGCAGTAGGAATGGCTGGGCAGCAGCAGGTCCTGAGCATGTGTCACACAGGGTCACTGTGAGCCACAGGACAAGAGCCTGCAGGGCTAAGTAGACCTCACTGAGGCTCTTTGAGGGAGGACAGATGAACTGAGGCAAATCTCTCTAGAAGATTAAGAAGTGGGCAAGGCACCATGAGGAAAGTATTCTGTTGAGAAATCCCAAATCTTGCAAGAATGCTGGGATGTCTCCTTTCTCAGAGAGAAATAGGTCCAATGAGTATGAGGGGTTGTGACTTAAAAAGGGAGGTTGAAGGGAGAGGAGAGAGTATGTGAGTTGGCAACACTGCATGAGGAAAATGTAAGTAATCATTTAAGCGGAAGTTATTTGCCTACACATATTTTATGGCATACAGAGAAAAGGTTGGGGATGCTGTTTATGGACTAGGCACTTCTGTGACAGCTAGTAGTAATTGCCTTGAATTTGAATCCCATTGGACAATTCTGGTGCGTTGAGAAATGTCAGAGCACGCTTGAGGAGCAGCGTGGCTGTGCTGCTGAAGTTGTCCTATTAGGAAGTGTTTGGTCACGGCATGTAAGTACATAGGAAGTGGAATTGTTCAATTATAGAATAGTATTACTCTTCTTATTTTGTAATCCTGTATGAAATGCAGATTTCCTCTTGTATTTAAAAAACCTGTAAAAATTACTGTTTTCTTCTTTTTTTTTTTTTTCAGCCCACCTTTGACACACTTTTTTCTTGACTGCGGAGGCTTAGCCCGAACGGATAAGAAACCTGCAATTTGTAAGAGTTACCTCAAGCTGATGACAGAACTCTGGCACAAAAGCAGGTATTAAATCATTCTGGTGATGAAATGATAAAAAATAGACTCCAGAGTCATGAGGGATGCATTAATCTATCCTAGGTTTTTAATTTTTTTTCCATGTGTTCACAGAATCCCTCTTTAAAAAAAATAGAGAAGGAAAGATTAACTTGTGAGACTCATGCACTYCTTCTAACCTGTTTATTTCCATATATATCAAGATAGGACAAGAAATGGATTAGATGAGCACTGTGCAAGYATTAAGCTCTTTTAAATGTTTATATTTGCCAGAATACATCTAAAATGTTTGACTACTGTATTCTCTCTGTGTGCTTCATTCTGTATCAATGTTTTATCAGTTTCTCTTGTTTTCTTGTATGGAATTTATATCTAAGAAAATACTTCAGAATGTGAATATAAAGGTAAATACACATAGTGGCAAGAGTGTGTTTGGATTGTTATCTGATTCTCTGACAAGAAATGTGGCATAAAAGGCCTGATACAGTCTCTATTTCTGAGGGAGGTTTTTAAAAATCGTGTAGTTATTAATTCAAGACCAGTATTATATTTTGTTAAGATTAATATTATTGGTGTTCAGTTGCAGGTAACATGATCCCAGTCCATTTAAATGCTTTCTTTTTCATTGTTTATATATTTACATTTTTTTTAGGCCTGGATCTGTTGTTCCCACTGGTTTATTTCAAGGAATTAAAACTGTTAATCCAATGTTTCGAGGCTACTCTCAACAGGTAAAACTTTCTGATGTCTTTTAAATCTGCCTAAGCCATAAAGTGATCTCTTAATTAGAAATGTAATGCTTAAGATACCTTACTTCCTATATTTGTTTAGAGCAAATGCAACATAAACTTAAGGTAGTGACTTGAATGTACATAATCTGAAATAGATGATCTATATTTATATTTATTTTATATTTATTTATATTAGATTCTTAAAAGGCCTTCAAATTAGGGTAGCTCCTTTTCTTTCAGGAAAATTTCAATAATATTATCTGAACTTTTCCTTTGAAAATGAAAAGTCTGAAATAATGCTGCTGATGTTCAAGCAGTCCCAGAAAACAAAATAAATATGTTCAAAAAGAAAAAAAGTATATAACAGATTTTTATATATTTGTCTACAAATGTTTAAAAAAATAAATACACAGTGTGCAGTTTCCATTTAGTATCTTGGAGGAAAGCCCCACCATTTGTGTGTTACAGGAACCAGTTTGGTAAAGAGGCAGGGATTATTATCTAGCAAAGGCATTCTTCAGTTGCTTCTTTATACAATATCTTGGTGCATTCATACAGTTTGGAGCACTTCATTAAAAGGTTTAGATCCAGGTGAAAAATTTAAACCTTGTAATTAGAAAAGCTTACTCATTTCTTCCACAAATCTRCTTTTATTACAAGGAATTTTGCTGTTTCTGTTATGCTTTATATTTGAGGAGTGAAGCATTAGGACACATGTTTTAATGTTCAATTGCTGCATGTAGCTGTAAAGTCAATGTTTAAATAATAATCTTAATTTTCTGTAAACTGCTTATGAATTTCTAAAGTGACATACAGATTTCTGAAAAAGTAGAAATTCAGCCTTGATAATCAAAAAGAAACTGTATGGAAACTTAATTCCTGCAGYTTTGAGCACTGATGAAAATGTCTTTTTCCATGCAGAGCAACACTTAATGAGAACCTTTTTAAGTTAGACCTGGATYATATTTTAGTTGTATGTTAGCAAGTTTCATGGCAACAATTAAAACCCAGCAGGGCTTTCATAACCAACACTCCCAGTGCCCAACCTTGCAAATTGGGTGGCCATGTCCCATCTTGAGGGAGAAAATTACATTGATCAATGAAGAATGTTTATCTGTTAATCTGTGTCTATCTGRCTATTTGTTTTGTAACAAGTTTTTTGTAAAAGAATTGCCAGCAAGTAGGCATAATGGTTTTTTTTTTCCTTACCCAAATCGAAAACTCAGTTCTTCAAGTTGCAATTTTCAAGAGAAGGAATGTTTTGTAGGAAGCAGTTTTGAGCTTAATAAGTAATTGCTATGATGGATGGGAATGTTGAGCAGCAAAAATTAGTGTTATGAACACCCAGAATGCAAAAAGGAAAACAGAAGAAAATAAAAGCAGTCGTAGTTGCCAACAAGAGGCTTTTGTTATCTCACATGCCTGCTATATTGGGTACTTTTTATTGCCAAGGACCTGGCAGCTGCTTTGATTGATGAAATTTGGTGGCTTTTAAGATGTTTTTCGAACACAGATTAGACTTGTCGTAATACTTTACAGCTCTTTGTGCAACACATTTGGGAAATCTCCTTTAGGCTTTAAAAGGAGAATTGAAATATTGTTGGCAGTGTGATGCATTGGAAAGATAGGCTTAGTAAATCGCAGTACTTTTAATAAAGTACTTCATACCCAGTGAAAGTAAGGCTCTTGTTGCTTTGCTGGATATGCTACCTAAGTTTTATAAAATCTGTCTCTAAAATGTTCCATTACGAGCAAAGCTGGAGTCTGACCACACTGCTGTTAGTTACGTTTATCACTGCAGTAAGCTATGGCAGCATTTTTGCTGATGTTATTGGAAGTAATTTATTTTGGRAATTGTAATGTTTTAGTGGAAACTTGTGTGATAAGATGACTTGAGACATACAAGTAATGGATGCAGGAAACATGCATGGTCAGGAAATCAAAGTAATTTTGAACATTCGACCTGGGAGAGAGGAATTTTCTTTTATTCTTCAGTAACAGGCAGCTTTCATTTTAGTTACCTATATCTTTTCCTGATAATGAATATCTTCCAGATAAAATAGAATAATGTGGAAAAACTTGTTTAAAATTCTAGGATGCACAAGAATTTTTGCGTTGTCTGATGGATTTGCTTCATGAGGAACTTAAAGAGCCAGTTGTAGAACTGGAAGATGCCCAGCCTATGAGTGTTGACGAGAGTATGGAAGAAGATAAGAGCCAGTCAGAYTTAAGCTTTCAGCCCTGTGAATCCTGTGGTAACTGTGATAAAACAGAAAATGACACAATTTTCAAACCTGTCTTAGAGGATCCTGCAGAAACAACCATGTTAATTCAGGATGATGATAACAACTCAGTCACATCCAAAGACTGGCAGAAAGAAAAAATATCAAGCAACAAACTTAAACGAGCAAATTCAATGGAAGACTTGGAAAAAGACACAAACRCTACTTCAGAGACCACTGAATTTTTAAATAACCAAGGAACTGTCAAAGTACAAATACACAGCAGATTCTCAGGTAACCCATTGCCAAAGTGCAGTTGAAATAGTCAAAATCTTAGCCAGAATATCTGTGCAAGTGTAAATGAGTTATAGAATATAGTAGAAGTATAGGTCAAACAAATTACTTTTTTAGTTTATTTCTTTCAATTTAGGTATTCTGAATTCAAGTTTAATTCGTTTGTAAAGCTAACTATTGRTACTGGGTAAGATTTCAGATAACCAGAAGAGTGGGGTTTTTTGTTTTGTTCTTGACTTAAGAGGAGCTGAAATGGTGCTACATTGGTAAATGTGCAGTGGCCTGACAGTGTGGTTAAATTAGTTACGTGACCATTTTGTCTGTTCATTCTGCAGTAATTTTTTTTGTTTGTGCAAATTTGTGCAAATCTCAATTACAGAATACATCAATGATGTTCACATGAACGACCTATCTGCAGCCCAAACACCATCGTCAGTGGAAGGCATGAACACACGCTTATCAAACAGTCCTCCAAAGTCATTCCCATCATGCACTTCACTGGCACAAGTCCACAAAAAAGGTAGAGGTCCTTTATTTTCTCCTTTCAGGTGCTGAACTACTCTGTATTACAGTTTTCATTGCATTTCTTATGTCTTGTGTAACAATGCAGTGTTGTTCCTTATTGGGTTTTGTCCCTATTTCTGCTGGGGAAAGGGATTGTTAYGTAAGCTGAACATGTGAGGTCATTCCCTGTATTTCTGTAATATTTTGACTCTTTTGAAGCATGAATAGTATTTGCCTCTATTTTGGGAGGATGGAATATTATTTTTAGACAATTTTCTCAATTGCACCAGTTTGGAGAGRGGAGAAGGGTGTAAGAAGTTAGTACCTCCAAAGGTTAATGCTTTCCAGAGAATAAGCTCCCACGGTTCTTCAGCAGAAATTCAGTAAATCAGCATTTTAGTCTATTAAGGTTTAAGGAGCCATGCATAATTGTATTGTGGGTAGACCTGTWAATGCTGGCTGCTTTATGGTTGGTAATTACAGCACTGAGTATTTATTTTGGCACTGCAGCACAAATGCATTTATGAGCATCCAGAATATTTAGACTTCTACTATCTTTAAAAGTGCTGCTTTAGTGCATGGGGAACTRTATATAATTATTTTTTCCCTGATTTGTCTAACAGTAACTACTTTAAGCAAAGCTTGTCTTTCAGAGCATGCTTTTAAGGCATTGCACCAAACCTAAACCAACAATTAACACAACTTTAGTATTGTGATCCTGCTTCACCCAATAGGCCATCCAGATAAGTTCTGAACATTCATGTTATCTTTTTAATGCTTTGGCATTGGTGTTGCATGACAGTGATTTAATGGACTTAAGTCATTGACCTCCTTGGTTCATTTGTTCAGCAGCTTTGACACTGCATCTGTACTACTGTCTCCAGTTTTGGCTTCACCATTACAGGAGGGTTTTAGACAACCTGAAGTGAGTCTGTCAGAAGAGGTACTCGGTCACTGGTGCTTGTCATGCCCAAGGAGAGGTTGAGAGACCTGGGGATTTTTAATAAGCTGCTGTTAGGCTGGACTCCAGTAGTACCTTCAGTCTACTTCAATCCACTGTCATCAGTGTTGTGAYACAGTAACCTTGTGTGTGAGCTCTTTGGCCCAGCATGGTTGAAAATTCCTGGGAAGGCCTTATCAAATTAAGTGTCAAATATGATGTTCCTTCTTACACCTTGGGGGATTCCTGCCAAGATAAATCCATTATGTAGCAATAGGCTGTAGATTTCAAGACCGKCAGTTTGAGTTTTGCTTACAGAGAYAAAGGTTTCTGGTGGTTGTCCCCCATAAGCTGCTTGAGGAACCTACATGAATTGCCTGTACTGGCAGCAAAGTGATCATGTAATTCCTAAGAAATACTTAGTAAACAGAAAGCAGTGCTTGGCTTATAATTTAACCCTGAATATATGAGACTTCTAATTATATAACATAGTTGAAGGAAATCAGAATCCACTGCATTTTGGCTTACTGCAATATTTTGTTTTTGTCATTTTATAGTTTCAACTGTATCATCACCAAAAAGGAAGAAGCGCAAGAAGTACAGAAGTGTTATTTCTGATATATTTGATGGGACTATAATAAGTTCAGTCCAGTGCTTGACTTGTGATCGGGTAAGGAGAGAAAGTTTTGGCTTTTAATATGTAATTTTCTAACCATTTATGAATACTCTAGGTCTTTCAAAAAATACAAGTAAATACTTTCCCTGTGATATGAATCATAAGCTGCTTTCTGAAGGTGTTCTCTACTGCAAGATGGGATGCAATATAGGAAGGAAGAGATGAATTTTTTTTTTCTGTACTGTTTGCTCAGAGAATTACTTGGAACAGAACACACGACCATTTAAAAAAACCAGTTATCTACATATGTATAGAGGACTTCTTTAGTTTCAAAGCAATAGTATCAAATACTGGATATCCAAATCTTTACAATGGGGACAACTTTCTCAACTTAAAGTTTAAACCTAACCCTGATGTACTTGCATGCCTTTAATACTKCTCTTGATTTAGATGTAAGAATACAGAGACCTCAGGGTAATKTARGGARCAAGTTCAAAAAACAAATAMGAATTTYTAAAATRTGCTTGATGTTTGACTCTGTGACTMTGTGATCATTAAATGAAACACAGGAGCAAGAAARTGCACAGCTGGGTCTTCCTTGCAACAAGTCCACTTACATAAGGTCAAGATAATGTCAAGAGTAAAATATTGTGGAAACAATGGACTGAAGCTTTCTTGAAATACTTTATATAAGAGAGCCTGAGGCAGAAATCATACTGCTTTGTATGACCGATACAAAGACATAAAAGTGACCTAAAAAAGTGTTTCAGTAATAATAATTTGCAAGTTCATTCTWAAATGTTATTTTTTGGTTCTTCTTTTTCAGAAAATTTATTCTTATTAATCTACTCTTTATAATTAATTTGCTAGCTAGTGGAATTTTCAGTTATGTAATGACTTGGTAGTTACTAGTGAACTTTACAGAATTCAATTTAATTGCTGTTTTTCTTCAAGYTTAACTCCATTGTGTTTAATTTATTTTCTTCCTTAGCTGTCTGTAACCCTGGAGACCTTTCAGGATCTGTCCTTGCCTATTCCAGGTAAGGAAGATCTTGCTAAACTCCATTCTGCAAGTCATCAGACATCTCTAGTCAAGGCAGGGTCATGTGGAGAAGCGTATGCCCCCCAGGGATGGATAGCCTTCGTTATGGAATACTTCAAAAGGTAAATCATATTTACCTTGTTTTATTTAACTATGTATTTTGAAATTCTGGTTTCTGCTTTTCTGGCAGAGCATTTGTTGGTTTTCTTTCTTTTCTGTCAATGATGTTTCAGGTTTGTTGTCTCATGTGTTCCTAGCTGGTTTTGGGGTCCAGTTGTAACCTTACAAGATTGTCTTGCTGCCTTTTTCGCCAGAGATGAGCTCAAGGGTAAGAGGTTAATTACCTGAATATGTTTCTTCTGTGTTTTTCTCTTCCTGTCACAATAAGATGATTAATATCTTCTGAGCTTAATGCAATTAAGCAGAGGCCACCTGTTAGAGTGTAATACAATCAATCCTTGTTCTTTTGGGATCATTCATTTCAGAAAGGTAAGCTTCTCATTCAACTGAATATTTGAGATAAGAAATGCCTATGAAAGCTGCTTTAGAAATGTCAAGTTCGTCTGAATTTGGTTTAATGAAATTGTATCAACTGAAGATTCATAAAAATTTCAGACCCACARTATTAATATTCATTCTCATAACCTCAATTTGACGTAGTAAATTATTTCCCTTTTAAATTTTATAGCATCTCCTCAGATTATACTGTACTGCTTCATAGTTGAAAACATAAAACCTAAGAACCTTTACTGTAGTTGCTATGTCAACACTATTATGAGTGTTAAATATTGATGCAACCTAAAGATAAATTCCCTTGAAACTTGATATATCAAATTTACATACTTAAAGGATAACTGTTCAGATCTAGAGAATAATGGCTGGTTTTCTTCTCCCTGGTGTTCGCAGGCGATAACATGTACAGCTGTGGAAGGTGTAAAAAGTAAGCTGGTTTTTACCTTTGTTTTACCTTCACTTTGTCTTAATTTGARCTCTTTACTGCTTTTGTTGGTGAAGAGACATTTCTATTGGGTATGTGCCAATACTGTTCATCTTTTGGTATAACGCTGTGTTCTGGCTCTCAGGAGTTCTGTGTCACCAAGGTGCGGTCAGGAAGCATCGACTTAYCCTTACTCTACCACATGTGCTTAATTCTTTCATGTCCTTACAATTTTAGATCTAAGTTGRTTTTGTTTGACCAAATAAAAACTCTTAGCCCTGTCTAATACTAGCAGTTTACCCCTTATATGAAGTAGGTCACTAAGATGTGTTAAATGAGAAAATTATGGCTTAAATACTAAAGAACCAAGAAASAGAAGTGGTCTGATCTTCAGAATGAAGCCCTTTACAGGGCTTCAGTGTTAYTCCTTTTTGTATCTGCTGTAGATAATTTGTTAGAAGTAAACTTAGTTCACTTTTTTTWATCTTTTGCTGGATAATCAGCTTTCATCAAGCTTCAAGTTCTTTCCTTTATGTTAAGAGAAACCGTTTASCTAGCTGGGACTTGACTGTACTTGCTGTTTTGAATTTTTCAGCAGTACAGATTGTCTTGTCTTATGAACCATCATTGTTTGTATCTTTTTGGCTACTCCATGTCTAGACTACATTCCAGAAATATTTTGGGTTTACTAATGTAATGTTCAGCTTAGGCTTTTGCTAATCTAGCCCAATAAAGTAAAACCTTTTCAGAATTACTTATGGGTTGTTTTGGTTTTGTTTTTTCTTTGCTTAGGTTAAGAAATGGAGTGAAATTCTGCAAAGTGCAAAAATTTCCTGAGGTACTGTTACAATATGCACTTTAAAGCACTTTTTCTGCATGATTAGGAACGTGATAAGACCGATGAGGTGCATGGAGTAAATTTTGTTCATAATGCTGTGTGATGAAAAGTCTACCTTCATACTGACAATTGTTTAAGAATGGGAGCAATGTGGTTATTCACCCTGTAAGAAAATGAATCCTGTACATGACAAATACAGAAATGGCATTTCCCTATGTTATTATTGTTGATCTGTAAACAGTTACAGCATTTCTATTCTATGTTACTGTATATGCTACTGTTTATATTGTAGGTCATAGAATTAAGCACCACTGCCAGACTGGAAAGTTTGTGTATATGTAACATTTAAAACTTCACATTTAAAAAGTAATCCAGTCTTACACTTCAAAGACTGAGTTGATGTCTTCAATAATCAAGAAGAATTAATATCCCTCATGACAAGATTGTGTAATATATGGATTCAGGAAGAGAGAAAGTACATTTTTCAATCCTGCAACAGTGTTAGTAGCCACATCTGATTGAAATACAGAGCTTGTGACTATGCTTCAGGTCATAGGGAAAAGTATTCTTTTTTTGGGATGATAAAAGGAAAAGATGGTACATGTAGTTTAGGTATTTAGTATCGAACAGCATGTACAGTTCTTGACTGAATCTGTTGGTCCTTCTTACAGATTCTGTGCATTCATCTCAAAAGATTTAGACATGAACTTATGTTTTCCACAAAAATTGGGACCCATGTGTCCTTTCCCTTGGAAGGACTTGACCTTCAGCCTTTCCTTGCAAAGGACAGTCCAGCTCAAATCGTGACTTAYGATCTCCTGTCTGTCATCTGCCATCATGGAACTGCCAGCAGTGAGTATCAGCTTGATTGTTTTGTCTTTGCAGTTGGTACATCAGCACTTTTCCTTAAGGATGGTAAGTAGATACTGAAGGGTAAATAGATAAGCAGTGGTGATTATGATGTGCAAGATGAATGCTGTGATTTTTACCTTGACACAAAAGATTTAAGGCTTGTTCTTAAAGAGTTGCCACATCTTTGAAATTGTATTGSATACCTAAATAAAAYTGAAGGTGGAAAAAAAAATTAAGAKATTCTGGAATATTGAGTAAGAAAACTAAATCCACTCTTGAACTACATAAATGTATAAAAATGTTGCATACCAGCAGATGACCAGTTGATCAGCTGTTCTACACAACTGCTGTTTGTGTCAATAAYGCTTTGTATGCCTTAATTTTTTGGAAACTCTTTACAAAGTATCATAAAGATGCCAATAATTTTTTTAGAAGAGTTTGTTTTGCGTGATCACTGCCATTTAACCCCAAAACAGGTGGTCACTGCTATTTATGGGTAGTGATGAGTAGCTGAATAAATGTCTTATTGCTATGTGTCAAGGTTTAATTTCTGCCTACATGATTTCAGTATTCATAATATCCAGAAAATAGGAGAAAGAGAAATTTTAAGGCAGAAACTTAAAAGATTTTATGGAAGTTACCCCCTCATATKTCTCAAACTTGAAGAATCCATTGCTTGAATTGGTTTTTTTGCGGTTTTTTTTTTTCTGGATGCTTTTTCAGCTTCCATTTAGTGCTTGCTAAGTGGTGCTTCATGTAATCAGTTTAGAAGATACTTGATTATTTACTTATTAGCMGTTAAGTATGTATTCTAAAATAGTAATTATTATAATAATGAGTAGTCTTCAAAAAACAGTAATTATGGCTGATATCGTGATATCATGTAGCTATTCCACATCTATGCTATTTTCTRTTGTAAAGCTTACAAAGGTCTGAAACGTTTGTTGTGGGGTACTGATAGGGTAAATTGTTCAGTCTTTGAGTATCTTGGTTCAGGGCTGCATTAAACATGCTGCTTGAAGAGTTCAACATGRTTAAAGTGCTGTTCAACTCTACTGTAGCTAATAGGAATTCAGAAAAAAAGCTGATGTTGAGCTTGAGAGAAGTTATTTTCAGTCCTATCTGCTAATGATTCTGTTTCTCATATATAAGACTTGATTTCTCTTTTTTTCAGGACATTCTTAATTTTCATGTGTTGCAGAGTAAAATGGTCAGACACTTTGTAATWACTCTTGTTTCTAACACTCTAGGTGGACATTATATAGCTTATTGTCGCAACAATTTGAATAATTTGTGGTATGAATTTGATGACCAGAGTGTCACAGAAGTATCAGAATCCACAGTKCAAAATGCAGAAGCCTATGTTCTATTCTACAGGTGAGACATTAAAAGTACAATCATACTGCTATAAGTCATGTTTGTAAATAACTTTTTCACAGTTGGGCAACTTTCAGAATTAGCTGCCCAATGAAATTATAATGGAAGAATTTGACCAATGAGAAAACCCTGTGCTGGAGAAAAGCTTAATCCTTCAATTATATCCTTAACACTTGCTCTGTCAGTGCTAAAGCATGTATGTTAAAATGAAAATGAAATCTGGACAGTAAGAGAACTCTAGGCATCAATTAAAATCTATYTACCTTATTTTCAATTAGAGAAAGGGAATACTGCACAAAGGGAACTTTAGCACACAGAAGGTTTTTAACTGTTAGACTCTAACTAGAATTGGGCAATGTCTTTATTGGATGGGATTTAGGACAATAGAAGTTTTACTGTGTTGTAATTTAATCCATTGCATTATACATTTTGATATACATTTAATTTAATACTATTTRTAGGCTATTCTCTCCCTGAGAATTGAAATGAAATGTGAGAAGTCTTGTTATAATATTCTTCAGTCTAGGGAACTTTTGTACTTGAGATAATAAAAGCAACTTAATGTTCAGATTTTAAACTTCTGGTACTAAGATCAAATTTCCACTAGAAATTGGCTGCAAAATACGTTGTGTGAGGATTACATAAAAAACCTGATGTGTTTTAAGAATGTTTTAACTTTCATTTGGAGCACTCCCACCTGCCACTGTCCAAGCTAAGCCCATGAGTCTGRCTTAGTAGGCCTTTTAAAAGGAATTTGGAAGTGTTGTAAGCCATGCTGTATTGCCAAGAAAGGGCTTTATATCTTTGATTGTGGGTGAACATATTCAAATAAATAATACAAGAATAGCATTCATAAAACTTGGTTCTAAAAAACAATATATCCACAAACTACTACTACTGACTTGGAGAAGAGAGATTCTATTCCATCTAAACAGGAGGGCAGTGTTACTTCCAGTTGTAAATGAGAAAAGTGGGAGAATACAGGAAAAGTAGGGGAGTTACTTGTTCTACTTACTCTGTAACCTTACCTGTGAAGGAAAGGGGGGAACATCTGCTCAAGGAGTGCAGCTTGCAAAGGTTTATCTCAAACGCTGCAGAGAGGAAATGAGCAGACGGGCACAGCTCTTCTGTGCTACACCACCTCTGCAGCTCAGTCTGCTTCAGTCTTGCYGCCCAACTGTTTGCTTTCTTAGGCTGTGTAAACCCAGGTAATTTACTTGAAGGCAGAGTTTTCTTTTCACAAAGTACATTATCTGTACTGTACACAAGGATCTCTATTTGCTTAATGATTTCTATTTCTCTAATAGAAAGAGCAGTGAAGAAGCCCAGAGAGAGAGAMGGAGGATATCAGGTCTGCTGAATATGATGGAACCAAGTCTTCTGCAGTTCTATGTTTCCAGGCAATGGCTGAATAAATTCAAGACTTTTGCAGAGCCAGGACCAATTTCAAATAATGACTTTCTCTGTATGCATGGAGGTGAGACTGTAACTATGAATCATTGAAAAGTAATTTGTCAACTTCTAGCTGTGACAGTGGTATATGCTTGTTTAAATTAAAGGAGTTTGACTATATTAAGTTCATATTATAAATTCTAAGTAAATTCTTTGTCTTATTTTAGTAACTAATTAGAAATGATACTGTGTGAAGTTACCCTATCTTTTGTCTTTTCTCTGCACATCTGGTTTTGTTTCTTGATTCATAAAAAGGAACAGTTCCTCTTATCTGGTTGCTTCTTAAACATGTATATTCTCATTTTTAAAAATCCTGTCACTATGTCATCAYCCTTAACACTTTAATCTGCAAACTGAAATGTTTTTCTCAGCTATAAGCAATGAGAAGGTTTGAAAGCTGCTTTGGAAGAAATTGATCTGATGTAGAGCATCCAGTGCAGAGCAGTGTGAAAATCAAGTAGTAATTCTGTGTATTTGGTATAGGAGCATAGAAATTTTACCTTGTTCTATAYATTAATACAAATGAGAACATGACAGTAAGCAAAAGGTATTTGGGAAAATACTCATATTTGAGTGCTAACATTCCAAGAAATCATTACTATGTGGTACCTATTTTCTAATAAAAAATAAAATTGCATTAGATTAGATGATAGAGGTGCTGCCCTTGTTGCTGAACCAAAATTTTAATACTGGGCTGTTATGTCCCTGTAGCAGTCTGCAGAGTCCTTGTGAGCCCTTTGGCTGTCCATCTACGGGGCTACAGCAGATAAACAAAATATTTAATTTTGACATTTTATTTGTACACCTTAAGAACCTGTTTGAAATCAGTGTCTAAAATGGGTTCTAGCCCTTTAATTTTAGCCATTCATATAGTTTGCTTCGGCTTTTTATAAGCTTTTCAGCCTCATAAAAGACTAAAATTACAGTGGGGTCTCTAAATACAGTGATTATACTGGGCTAAAACTTTTTTCATATAATTTCTCTGAATTCATTGAAAGGTTCTATTTTTATTTATTTAGGGACTGCTAACATAGTCATCTCCCCGCACTAAAATTCACAAGTCTTTTTTTATTGTTTGGGGATTTTTTTGTTCTTGTTGCTKCTGCAGGTGTTCCTCCACACAAAGCTAACTTCATAGAGGACCTCGTTGTAATGCTACCTCAAAATATATGGGATAATCTGTATAGCAGGTAAGTTTTGAACTGAAATTGGAAAAAATCCAGTGATACAGTTTGAGTGCCAAGCAGCGACATCAGACTTTGGAATTAGTGGCTCRGGAAGAAGTGAAGGGATTGCAAACAGCCAATTTATATCATTTTCTTGTGCAAAGCAATGCTWAAAGACTACATAGAGTAGTGTGTTAGTGGGGTAATACTTCAATATTAAACCAAGAAACATGTATGGTATGTATGAAATAACACAAAGTAGGTCAGCAAAAGCACACTTTGCAAGAGGTTTTTTGAAAGAGCTCTCTGTATCAGCTTCCTGTTCTCTTGTTGGCTGGAGACAGCTTTTCTTTTATGTTGGCTTTGAATCCATAGCCTCAGCTGCCAGTACTGCTTCAAAATAACTTATATCTGAGTGTTCTGTGTTACTGCCCCACACTTAAATGTCGGTCAGGTTTGAGTGCTTGCTTATAAAGGAGGAATTCTTACAAGCTGTGGCTTGTTCTAAAGTAACAAAACCCTGCAAAAGAGCTTTGCTGATGGCATTAAACACTCTGTATTGCACTTGCATTGGATGTTTTTAGCTGTTAATTTCCTGCCACCTCAACAATACATCTAAGGGTTTGGGGAGYATTTTATTGCTATTTTCAAGTTTTGGTGCACACAAGTGAAAAATAAAAACAATGCCATTTCCAGTTTATTTCCCTTTTCTTATATGTACTGAATTTTTCTTCCATTATCCGTTTTCTGTATGCAAAAATATTCCTCTCAGGAGCWGTGCCCCTGTAGACTTCCATGGATAGTTTCACATGAGGAAGATGTGAGGGAAAGGTCTGGAATAACCTGTGAAGAACAAAATAATAAATAAATTTAGAGGCTGGGGTCAGGGAGGTAGCAAAACTGATTCTGCAGTGGGATGGAGGAACGTGTTTAATGCAGAGCTGGCTGGTATCTTTCCATAAGCTGTTTCTTAAAGGCCTCTGATAAAACCACWGCTRGTGTATATATAACAACACATTGCTTGCTGACATGTTCTGACCATAGTAACTCCTTCTGAAGTATGTGATGCAGCAGARATGGTCTGTACTGGCATCAGGCAGTCAAAACTTGCAAGGTGGTCTTAGGATAAAGTACAAAAATCATCAGGAAAATAAACGTTAGCTTTTCTGGATTATTGTGAATGTCATACGTCAGCCTTCTGCTCGTTCTGACATTTGCCATGTCTACAGGTGCATGATCTTTTTACGTGATATTTTCCACAAGGCTGATGGTTTGTGTTTTTTTACCTTTATTGCAGGTATGGAGGAGGACCAGCTGTTAACCATCTGTATGTTTGTCACACCTGCCAGATAGAATCTGAAAGAATTGAAAAAAGAAGGAAAAATGAATTGGAAATGTTTATACGGGTAAAAAASYAAACACTTATCCATTYTGCTACTGGACAAYATATGACATTCATGACTAAACCCARGGGATTACCAGAATTGCACAGGGGGTTCCTGTAACAAATGAACTTTATGAAATATCTCTATACCTAYATACAATCCCATCTCTCCTAATGGCAGCAGTAATGGTCTTGTTAAGCCCCAGATAACTGTTTATATGAAAATGTACTTAGAGAAAATTTTAATGCATTTCTAAAATTGCTTTTTTATTGTATGGAAACAGTGCAGCCATGTGAATAGTTGTTCTTCATACACTGCCAATGGTCTGTTCTCTGCAGTCTGATACGGTTTAAGTGCAAAATATTGTGCCAAGAAAAATTTTATGCTAATCATTTGCTCTAATTTAAAATAAAAAAATCATTAGAAACATAAACAAACRTAAGTAATTCAGTGAGAAGTAAATATGTTAGTATTGTAATGGATCTGTAAAATTARTATCAAGGAGTTACTGTATTTTCCCTGAATAAGAGGATTGTCCTTGAGTGAATGACTAGTAAAATGACCAGTGGTAATGATTTTGAAGTTCTTCAAGCAAAAATGTGTTTTGCAGTTTTCAGTGAAAATAAATGCAGAGACATTGGAGTYCCATTTCTGCTATCTCAACACATGAAAGGAAGAAAAATGGAACTGATTTTTTTCAGTTCTGTTTGTCCCTTAGTCACACTTCAGACATAGTCGGCTTTTCCATGTTTCAACTATTTGAAATTTTTAGGAATTGACTTTTCATTATTCTAGGTTACCACTTGTTACTAATTATTATTAATGATATTGAGTCAACCTAATTTGCTTTTGAAGTCAGTTSATCACACAAAGAACCTTCCATAAAATTATGGAGAAAATCTTTCAAAACACTGTTTTATTTTACACAAATAAGATCTGCTTTGTTTTGCTGCTTGAAAGTTCAGCCTTCACAGTAATTATCCAGTAGTGTTTGATGAGTAAGCACTTGTGCTTAAGAAGAACTTATTCCTATTTTCAGGAAATGTAAAAAAATTCTCAACTAAATGGTAAATCAGCTTTTAATGTGAGGGCTACCACTTCATCCAAATCTCACCCTGGGTATTCACCAGGTGTTTACTGCTCTTATGGTCAGTGGTGTTTTAAATGTTCTGTTACAGTGTAATATCACGGTGTTAATAATAACAGTAGTTTAAAGAATTCAGTCATTTAAAGAAAGGGCAGAAAACTACAGGTTKTTTTTTTCTTTGTAGCTTAATAGAGCATTCCAAGAAGAAGAATCTCCATCAACATTTTACTGCATCAGCATGCACTGGTTCAGAGAATGGGAAGGTTTTGTAAAGGGTAAAGACAGTGGTAAGTTGTGCCCCATATAGGTAATCTTTTGTTGTATCAAGTTGTTTCTGCTTTGGTAGAAGAATGTAGGAAGGACAGATAGCAGAGACAAAAAAAGTTCTTAAACATCTAAGACACAGGTTTTATGGGTTACAAGTACATCCAGGATACAAAACTTTGTAAAATAATTCACAGCAAGGGATAATGGGATAGTGTTGGAAAGAATGTTGCTTGTTTGCTGGATGTTTGCTGTTAGCAGCAGCAGGAAAATTGGATCTAAGTACAGGGTGGGGGTTGGATTTTATTGTGCAAACTGCTAGATGATGCTGCAGCTTCTGGAGGARAGGTGACCTCATCACAATCTAAACTCAGATAGCTCAGTAACAACTATACTAATGTCAGTTTAGCTGACTTTAGATGCCTCTAMATTTTTTTAATGGAAACTGACAAAATGTTGTACAATCTTGTCAGAGTTTGCTCTAGGACAGCTTTGCTAGGGGCAAGAATTAGAATTAATTTGTATTTTATGTTGCTTGAAGACWTAGTGTAATCATGAATGCTTTGAAAAGCTTGCTCTTAATTAAAAGTGTGATTAGTTTTTAACAACTTAGAACATACTGTTAAGCAGTACAAGAACAAGCAGTAAACAAATGTGCTGCTTCCCGTTCCACTTTGAAATAGAACCTCCAACCTGCTGTTTGTTTTCAGCTCTTCCAATTTTAATAATKTTTCTGTTGCACTAGATCCTCCTGGCCCCATTGATAATGCTAAGATTGCAGTAACAAAATGTGGCAATGCTGTGCTAAAACAAGGTAGGTGTCTAATATTGCTGCAGCTTTGTGCCCCTTATGTATTTGCTGAAGTTTGGAAAATTTATGTTTTTTTTAATTTATTGTTACTGTAAAATGAATGGTAGTTTCTAGTGAGTCTGTGTTCCCCATTTTTGGGGAACCAGTTTATTCTTAAAAAAAAGAATTAGCACCTGCAATAGTCTAATCCAAGTGCYGTCGAAAGTGTAGGAGGTGCAGAGTAACTTAAAAATGGGGAAACTCTGCTGTCAGTTTGACTGGTAGATATTAGATAAGATGTTTDTCATAGAATTTCCATGTGTTTTCTGCAAGTACTGCATAATTTAGAGCTGGGTGTTGTAAGAATCAAGAAGCATAAAACTAACACAAAATACATAATTTGGTTTGGTAGCTGTGCAAGATAAAGCACTAACGATGTCTGTGGTGTTAAATTCGAATCTGAATTCTGACAATTTTAAATTTGAATCTGGATTCTCTTTTATTGTATCTGTTATGAACTTAAATCATGAGAGAATCACTAAATAGTAATTTAAATTTTAAATTTTTTTCAGGTGCAGATTCTGGGCAAATATCAGAAGAAACATGGAATTTTCTTCAGTCAATCTATGGTGGAGGTCCAGAGATTATACTCAGACCACCTGTTCCTCCAGTAGAACCTGATATATTGCAAACAGAAGAGAAGATTGAATTAGAAACCCATGGTCTGTAGCTATTGAGAAAAAGCTGAACTTGTAAGGAATCCAGCTTCCTTACAAAATGCCCAAAACACATTCCTAAAAGTTTTATTGTCTTATGTCTGTTGGAGGCACAGCTCAGTGGGCATTACATTAACTACAGAATAGTAAGTTGAAATATGTATTGCAATTTGTTTAAATAGCRGCTGTTTCTCTGTTTTGGAACGCATGTGGTTTGTACATTTTGGAATGTTTGGTCAATGGGAAAAATGTAATTTCTGGATTTTTTTGCTATAAGTCAAAATCCTATTATATCCTTAGACTTGAAAAACAGGGACAAATTTTAGAGATGTTCAGTAACCCTTCTGATTSCTGATTGGGCTTCTGATATCTACAAACTTTCACCTGTCTTAATTGTACAGTCTTGACAGGCCTAGGTATGTGAGAAGTATATTTTGAATGGACTGTAATCAAAGATAAAGTAAAAGGATTTTCATTTCCTAAATGCTCAGGAAAAAWTTGTCTCTTACTTTGCACTGTAAGTATATGAAATGGGTAATATATAATACCCAAATACTTATTGTATTTGAGTGGATCAAACATTAGTGTAGRCTGAATAATGTTTTAGTCAGCAAATGTCATAATTTATTACTACTAAATTTTACATCTTACCGTAGTCTTCTGTAACTCTATAAACCTGGCTAGTGTCTTTAACAGTATATGTGGCAAAAAGATTTAGTCTTCTCTAGGGTAATGTTTGAGAGCATGAAGTATGAAATGTAAAATTATTATGAACATGAGTGATACAAATTTCAGAAAATTAAATTGTCTGGTCTCTTGAATTGCATCCATAAGCATTTCTATTTGAAGGATTTTATTGTATTGTTAAAAATTTCATTGGCATGATGACCTTTGATGTCAGAAGCTGGATAAAATGTATATATTGCAAAACTTCATTGAATGATTCATATTGGAATGCAGAATGGCACTTGCTCATGTTTTTGCCTGATATTGTTACCGAATAAGCAGCATTATTCAAGACGGGATCAATAAAAAAAAACAAAACTGTGGAATAGGTGGGAGGAGCTTTCCTAAATGTTTTTCATTTATTATACAGATACAAAAACTCAGAAGTAATGCTGTGGTACTGTTCTCACACCCATGCAACTATATTTTTTGATCGTTTTAGGCTGAAACAATGATGTTGACAGTTCTAGCTCCAAAGTAAGAAAATGCTGACACAGCATTCTTCTGGATAGTTTTATATGTAGTATAAAAAGATATTGGTTTGTAGGACTTCAARTTATTTTATTTTAAAAAGCCACCTATAACAGCCCTGTTGTCCTCTAACCAATACTAACAAAGTATTTGTTAATGTGATTTTATGTTAGTAGATAAAGCAACTTGAAGTTAATAGCAAGTTACCCCTGTAATGTTACTTAGCACAAACTAGARCAGACTGACCCTGTAAAATTTGCAAGAGAAAAATGGATTGAGTGTTAGGGGTATCAGCTTGTCAGGGAATGAAGCAGTTCTGTGCTGAGTATTCTGGATGTTATAGCAGATCAGACTAAGAGTTAAAACCCAGTGATACCAAAACAAAACTTGTTCTGGGTAATAGTAACAAAAGCATCAGATGTAAGGCACAGGAGGTAATTATTCTGCTCTACTTGGTGCTGTGCTTGTTGTGAGATCTCATCTGTACTGTTCCCAATTTTGAATGCTATAKAATAAATACAAGTTGAGGAGAGGTTATTTTAGGGAAGAGCAGCAAGGTCAGTGGTGAAAAAGAAGTTGTTTTCTTTCTTAAAAAATGGTGAAAATGCAACACTTCCAATATGTAAATAAATGCTGCATAAGAGTGAACMATTTTTTCTGAAACAAGCAGAGAGGTTTGCCTCAGCTTTAGCATGGGGACTTGTGCTCTGTTTAAGAAGCTTATTAGAAATCTAGGAGTCTTCTAGTCAGKCTTTTCTGCTGGGTGTCTGGGAATGCACAATCAAACATCTCTGATACACACAGACAGATTAGTAAGGGGACACTTTACACCAGTAGAGTTTGTGAAATGCCTTTGTCACTGTGGAAAAAAGGTATCTTCACACTGGAACTGTTTACCATGCTTTAAAAAAAGTGAACCCCTGAGTTTGCAGAGATAAATAGATGTGTTTTAAGACATTTCCAAGGGGCTGACGGTCTTACTTTTAGCCCTCTGAGAGCTCTAAAAGGGATATTATGTCACAGAAATGGAAGTAGTCTTTTAAAGGAAGGCAGTGTAGGAGAACTCCAGATGGATGGCTTGTGTATGCTGGAGGGAAGGCAGTGATTCAGAGAATAGGTAAGGGAGGCCTGTGAAAAGCTGTCATGATTCATAGCAAAGAAAGAATGCATCTCAGGAAGGACCTGTGGAAATTATTTTTTTCCACGAGCCTTTTGCCAGACTCTTTGGATTCTTTGTTCATTTGTTTCCAGTTGAGGAAACACAGCAATGTGTTTGGGTGCCAGAGAAACTGTCACTTCAAGAAGGGAAAAATCCAGTGGACTCCTTATTGTAGGCCTGGAGCTCTAGGTATGAGCTGTTAAAAGCCTGCAGTTCAGTGTGGTAACTTTAATCCTCTCTTCTGGGGAGAACAGTGAGTTTTTAGGAACTTAGCAGCTCAAAGTGTGGTTTCTCTAAATTTCTGAAGGTGTTTTGCAGGTAATGTGAATAATTGTCCATCTGAAGACCCAGCATCGAGGAGAGTGCTTCATRTACTGTGTAATGCAGCTGAACAGTATAATTGGAGGGAAAAGGAATAGCAGAAGAGCTACTGAATTACTTAGTAGTAAAATAAGGCAGTTTTGTAATGTGTTTCAGAGGCGAGAGCTAAGTAGTCTGTCTACTCGATGAAAACAAAAAAACTGACCTGCTTTTTAGCTGTAAAATTATTTCATGTCATATTTTTACTGACTTAAAGGCCAGTGTCTTCCTTTCCTGTCACTAGAACATCAGGAAATGAAAGAAGTTCTGAAGACAATTTCAYGATGCGGGTACATCATTTAAGCTGGGGGAGTCCAGAAAACGGTTTCTGCAAATATTGTCATCCCCCCGTGTATAGGGATACATATATATACATATATACTTAATGTATAATAATATAGTATTATCTATTTATATACATATTTTATATATGTATTAAAAAATGCACAAAATCCACTTCTCCACTATCTAAATTGAACTATGGCTAGAGGCACTATGGGAATTGGTTTTGGTTTTRTGTTGGAATAGTGACCTCAAGTACCTACATTTGATAAAGGTTGTTTGTTTTATTTTTAAATAGATAAATKACACTCAGTTTACTGCTGTAATGAGTGTCAGCCTTCCCATCAGTAATGGCCTGTTTTAAGATGAGATAAAAAAACCATAAAGTGTTAGAAATGTATTTGGCTGTATTATAATGTGGATGAAGAGGTTTTCCTTTTTGGAGCAGAAGTTCAGTATGCCCAAAGTTGAGTAGTGCTGAATTTTTCTTWTGAAATCTGATGTAATTTAATGTACTTTGCTAATACATTATTTAAGAATTCTCCTTCTCAGTTTCAGAACTTACACTGTGACTAGCTTTTTCCAGCATGGTWTATCCTGCTTCTCCTGAAAGGACTAAAGTCAATAAGTTTCTTTCACATTAGTATTACAGGTATTTATTTGTAATGATACTGGTAATACTTGACTTTTTTTTTTTTTAAATTAAGTATCCTATTATTCATAATATAAGTTCATATGGAAGAGCAAACCTGAGACTTGTAAATTTTACTGGAAAATTTAAATATCTGCTTTAAGGGACCAAGTGTTTTCTTCGTATTTGCCGTTACTGTTTTATACTGAACTAAGAAAATTCTGTTTCATTTATTCCTTTTGAATTAACTGTATACATCTGACTTAGTACAGTCTAAGCAATTTTCTCACTGAAAACCTTTCAGTCTTCATTTTGCCCAGGAAATGAGTAAAACAACTAGGCTTTCTCATTCTTCCAAACAGATGGCTTTTCTGGCTTGCCTCTACACTTAAGCCATCCAGAGCTGACAGTTAATAGCAGGAAGCAAAATAACACTTCTGGGTTTCTGAAGAGTCACCAAGAAAGACAAATCACTTTCAGTGTTAATTCACAGAGATGAATCTAGTTGCAAACAAACTTGGTTTATATTTGCCTTCAAAACCATAGCAGATTAGAAAATACCCTTGTTCAGTAAAATTTTAGAAGTGCTATTCTCACTAACAATGAAAAGTGTAACTTGTATTCTTGAATATATTCTATTTTATGTATATATGTATATGTCTGTTTAAAACCTAGTACTTGTCTTAGGTTAAGCTTCAGGCTAGCTTTAAGCCATTCAACAAGGTGACGAGTCTGCTTCTCCATAGAAACCAGTGAACACTGCCACACAGTGAGATAAAATATKCTTCTAATACATCTAATGTTACACATGTTTGCTTACAATAGCAGAGTTGTGGTTTTCTTAGAAAGAATGAATAATAGCAGCTATCTCAGAAYGTTTCTCTCTTCTAAATGTGTGTCAGCTCAGACATGCAGCTAGGAAAAAAAGGTCTATTTGTGAGGAACAATATCACTGATATTTCCAGTAGGTTTTCTGCACTTGAACTGATACAACAAAGTCACTTCATGGCAAGTTTCCATGTCTGTTGTACATGGGTGTATGTGTGGACCTCAAAAAATGCAACAGGAACGTGATCACTGAAATAGGCTGTTTTTAAGATGAATAAGCAAGTAAATTCATTTTCTATTCTGACTTGTTGAAGATTGAGTTAACTAAAACATCAAGTTCTAGTTGTTGAATGGACATAAAGAAGTACAGCTGACACTTGAATTGCTGGTTTATATTCAACTATAAAATGAACCATCAGTAAAAAAGTAATGTTGGCATAATGGGAATACACTGATTCTTTATGCAGTTTTGATATGCCRTTATGCAATGCTAATGAATCTTAAAGGACTTATTTTTCTTACTAGTCACAGAGAGCATGGGAGATACAAAAATAAAGCAGTCATCATCCGCAAAATATTTTCATAATACAAATCAAGTTGAGACGATTTTATTTCCAGATATCTTCCTCCTTTCTCACTTGGAACTCACAAGTTATTTATTATACATTAAAAATTTTAGTAAGATCCATTTTTGGAATAACTTAGCACATGAGAAAGTAAATCTAAAAGTACTTTGCTAGGAAGAATAAAGAGGGCAGAAGAGAGGAGGCACTTGATTCATAGGCGTAAGAGAAAGCTTAGAATAAATTGTCAGCTGCCAAAAATGAAAAATAGCAATTTTTGTCTCATATCTCACAGGGTACTGCCAAAAGCTTTTCATTGTTCCTGAATAGTTTTGCTCAGAAATGAATATTTTTCTAGGTGATTAATTTTTTTTCTGTCYGGTGTGTTTTTTAATATCAAACATGTTAAACATGCTAAAACAAGATGTTCTGGTTACCATGGGGATACATTGCTTTTTCCCCACCACCACTTCCCCTGGGTRTCTGTTAGAATGCCAAACCCAAATGAACATGCAGCACTTGCTCACACTGTGAATGCATGTTTGTTTCCACCAGTGCACACACTGTCTCTTCAGCACCASCAGTAAGGTTACTCTGAGATTTTCAATTGTAACAAAAGAAATGTGCTAATGAGTGCCAAAGTGAATTGGCACCTGTGAATTCAGTTAGGCAGTATTTTCAATTAGTGTAGTACCAAGGTTACAATTTAACTGTAGACGCAAGAAATAAAACATGTATTAGCTATGAACTCCTCTTTGAGTGACCTGTCTTCTGAGCACATTTTAGTAAGGGCAATATCCTTTTTTTTTGCCTCATTTGCTTGCAGTATAATGAATTTGCTACCCTACCAAGCAGGGGAGTGGAGATAATTTGTCTCTTGAACTTGTCAGTAGGAATCTGAGCTTCATGTGTGACCTTAACTTTGCCCGCTCTAGYGAGAGACTGCTCCTCCTGGGCTCTTTCTGTAGATGTTGAAAAAGATACAGGTAATAGAGGCAGTTTCTGGGCTTCTGCTCTGCTTTTAACTTAAAGCTGCAAAGTGTCTGCTGTCACTCTGGATTTGAGCCMTGAACAGGAATCTCTTATTCCTAAACTGTTGGTGGTGCTGGTGTTCTCTCCTGTGTGATGGCAATTTGTTTGAAATTTTTATTCAAATCTTTCACATTTGTATGAGAGGGCCCTAATCACAAGAYAGGCTTGTTCTTGAAAAGCTTTTCTGTTTGGTAAAAATATGCCTAAAGGCTAGGCAGAAGTGTGCCAGGTCTTTTTATTTATTTTACTTACACACCTACATTTTACTGAGAAATTACTAATATATGTTTTTCTGGTTTACATTGAACAGTCTACATGAACAGTCTTCAGTTTTGAGTAACAATAGAGCTCTTKATTGTGGTATAGGACCTGAAGGAATAGGCAAGGTAGTCAAAACAGTACCAGGCATGTTCTGTGGCCTGATGTACCTTCATGTAGGTGATACATAATTCAAATTATTAATGTGGAGCCACTAATACCTGAGAGTGCTCCAAACATAACAAAGGGATGTTTCTAAAGGAGAGAGGAAAGATAAAAGGGATTGTTTGGACAGGAGTTCATAACAGCTGTAAGGRGTAAAACTCCCTGATGAAGGTGACTCAGTCTGAAAGTCAATGCTGATGGGAGCACTGGAGGAAGGCAAATGGAGCTAATGTGGACTTCAGTGTCTGAGTAGCAGCCTTAGGCAAAACCACTGGGTCCATATGTGAGGGAGGTCCAGCTCCCCCTCTCMTCATGTTTAGTAAAAACTTCCTGATTCACATGTGGGAAATATCTCAGAACCTGGAAGTCTGGGTTGTTTTTTTTCTTAAAGACCTGAGTCAAATTTTWTACACTAGAATAATAACATGCTTGWAGAAACTGCAGTAAAGCAAATAAAAAATACAGTTGGTTGAAATAGGTAGCAATATTTCTMTTTTGAAATATAAAAACTTTTGAATAGCAAAAACTAAGAAGAAGAATATATTCTGAAAAACAAAGACCTTCCTTCTTGGCATGCTGCTTTTATGTTTAATGAGTTCCAATCTGGAAYGTTTTTTTAATAATGCATTACAATCCAGCTATCATTTCACATCGACCTGACTTTGAAGCCTCTACTGAACTTAGAAAAAGCCATTTAATTGGAATACCTCATATGTAAGGAAAGTTTATACCTGGTCCTGAATATAGTCTTATTATTAAAAATAAGTATCAGATTACTTCACTGCACCTTCTTAGATAATTTTGGATTAGATTGTCCCTACTTTAAATAAACAGGCATAAAATGCAAATAAGTGAATAACTTCAAAAATTCATTTAACTTTTATGATTGGTAATTTKCTTTTTCAACATACAATATGACTAATTTCAGTAACTAATCTGCAGTAATCCATGTGGCTTGTAAGACTCCTGAATTGTCTAATATATTTACCCTTTATCAGTGACTTGAAATCATTCTCTTTAATGAAGAGCTAAAATTTTAATTTCCCCCTACCTTATTCCTATTAAAAAAAAAAAAAAAAAAAAACCAACTTATAAAACGCAGGCATTCTAAACTTACAGCTGAAGTGGATTTATTTTAGTAGATTAGACCAGATGACTACATAAGATTGTGTGAAATTTACCACTACTACACTTTCKAAATTATTGGTTTAGTAGTATTTTAATATTATTTTTGACATGCTGACTTCCATACAAATAGAAAGCCTTCATCCAAGTAGTATTTTAAGTAATAAAAATATTTAAAACGTGTTTTGTTATTATGCCACTGTTGATAATATTGTAAAATTGAATGAAAAAGCCAGAATAATCTCATGTAAACTGGCTACTGAAACCACACGTAGATGAG